TCATAGACGATTGCTAACATATTTTCTCAAGTCGTTCTGTATAATTTGATTAGTCGTCTTGTCCTGAGAGCAGAAAGTATAAGTATTTGAATCAAAGTATGCGTTTAACTGTGACAATAACGACATGTTTTATCTTTTGAATGTGGAAATGGGCCTCGCCTCATTTCTCTGGAGAACTAAAAGTGAATATTTATTGAGTGAGCGCAGCTGAAAGAGGTGCCATCGACATGATACATGAACCCCCAGTGGAGCCAATGGTCCCAACAGGTCCAGTCCTATAACGGTCCATGGTCCAGTACCTCTCAGTGATTTACTCAAGTCGATATAAGTAAATGAATGTCCTGAGATCCAACATTAGAACGTGCTGTAAAGGTGACATCATCAATCATTTCAACAGAGCCAGAGTTTATTGGCTCATAAACCTGGCAACGTTGACCTGAAACGCAAATTTAGATTTTGATTCAAGTCAGTGGTGGGTGGTTTTTGTGGTTTTTCTCACTTCCATCTGTCATCCCACAATCTCACTCACAAACGTTGGAATTCTTAGTGGAAATCTTGTGTTTAGGTCATGGCTGGTGTCATTTCGCTCTTCTGCCTCATAAATCTGACTCTTTTATGAGATTAATGCATAATGTTCATCAGCAGAAATACAGATTCAACGCTACGCAGACTTTTAGTATGTTTTAAACAGGTGCCAAAGCGCAGTGAAAGAAAAACACAAATGAAAAGAAGTGTTGTTTGGGGCATTTCTAACATCAAACTACTGAGCCAATGTATCTTTATTGAACTAAATGTATTTTTGCATTGCCTTAAATCACAACAGCAGTCATCTCCAGGGCCTTTACAAAGCTGTCGATTCGCAAACGCAGATCAGAGAAGCAAACAGTGCAAGCACAGGATATGCATTGATAAAAAACACAGAGACATTGGTCCATCAGGGACAGAGACCGAAGTCCATAAGTGTTGTTGAGTGTGGAGTGTCCTGGATCACCACCACTTCCTTAGACCCTCCTGAATCAGCAAGGAAAAAACAAAAATAACTTCTTCTACAACTCAAGGTTTAAGTATTTTATGTTATAAGGAGCTCAGCACGTTGCAGTGAGAGAGAAGATTTCACGTTTGGAGCTCAGGTCCTGGGAGCGCTGAAAAACACAGGATTTGTATATTGCTCTGCTTCTCCTTCTCTCTCATAACGAATGCTTCGGGCTAAACAGAGATTTTCATACTCGTAATCCACTGTATGTCCCCAGAAACCTCTCTTTTTCCAATTGGGACAAACACAACCTGGGTGGATGGATGATTGGGTGTGTGCTTTTGTGATTGTGTCTCTCTAGAGTGAATTTCACACAATGACAGTTGGAAGTCGGGCTACAATTGCCTTCATCCAAACCCTGAGACCGCACAGCACAGACTGAGACCGACAGATGATAGACGTAAGATTGTTTTGCCCAAAAATAAACTTTAGGGCTGCTGTTTTAGATCGTGATGAGATAATGACTATGAGGATTTAACGAAGGGAGAGTATGCAGTGGATGATAACTATGAGTAGGACAGTGGCTGAGTGGTTAGCCCTCTCACTTCTCAGCAAGAGATGATTGTGCGTTAGAATCCCGGTCGGAATAGGGTTTTTCTGAGTGGAGTTTGCATGTTCTCCCCGTGTCCGAGTAAGTTTTACCATTAAAAACATGCACAATAGGTCAAATCCTCCAGCTCCGGTACCAACATCTGGAGATGGGTTCCAGAAATACTGTTATTATGGGATTAAGATGGGGCTAATGCAGAAGATAAATCTCCCTACAGGGACAATAACTCCACCTCTGCTTCTGTGACCTGAAGGGCTGTAGCTGATTATTACTATTGTTAGCTTTTTAGAATTATCAATTTTATTTTTGATGCAACTGGACACCTGACATTTCTGCTGCGGGGATCAATAAAGTATCTATCTATCTATAAAGTGCACATTTACGTTTTGACTGATTAGATTTCTGAGCTTGACCCACTCTCCAGCGTCTGTATGAGGCCCACACTGCTCTGCACAGACTCTACTGCTGTCAGAAGGAGCACAACCTCTGGTCTACGAGAGCGACTTCTTGTTAATAATGGGCCCTTAGAGGGGAGTGTGGGTGGGGGAGGTGGAGGGGAAGACCACCATAGACTCGGCCTTGAGTAGCCGGTAGCAGTGTGGGTGGTGGAATGTGGAGGACAAAGATAGCGCAGGTGCCTGCAAACATTGGAGACTCGACCACGACTCTGACCAACTCGCGGAAACTCTCCTTGTTTTCCGCGGACAGCCGCTCGTAAATCTTCTGAGTGGACAGCCCTCCAACTTTGCGGTAGATCAAGCCAACTCCAAATCCAATCAGGAGGAACCCTGCTACCATAAATCCAAAAATGTATAAGGGGAGAGACTCGTCTGACCTCGAGGAGAGCAGGAGGTGTGTGTGTGTATGTGTGGTGTGTGTGTGTGTGTACCTGTATATATGTGGCTGTGTAAATACTATATACAGATATTCACACATCTGTACAATAACATCTGTCCCTACCTAAATGTCTACAAATATTTGGGTTTAAAGCTGCACTAACTGACTTTGGGATTTTGAAGCCGCAGACTCGCTGGCCTCGCTCTTTCTGCTCCCCTCCCCGCACCCACGAAGCTATCGCCCCCCACACACACCCACTGTTGTTGACGGAGCTAGCCTCTCCCAATATGGATAATACATGGATATGGATTTGCACGTGGATGGCGTGACCATAGAACGATAGAACCAGGAAGTGCGGAGGAACGAGACTTTCTACTACACTACATACGTCACGGTAAACTCAGATCCAATCGTTTCAATCTGCAAAAGGAGTTAACCCCTCCCACCTGTTCACGGAGCTCAATGGAGCAAATCCAGACCTTAGTATGAAATGTAATTTGTACTATGGTGTGGTACGACCAGGCTAGACCAGACTCATTCTACTGTGGGAGAAGTGTTTTGCCTGAACAGCCGCCCCACTGTGGCACCTGGTTTTGCCAGAGGTCTCCCATCTCAGTACTAACCAGGTCCGACCCTGCTTAACTTCAGAGGTCTGAAAGAATTTGGTTTTAGCTGTAGGTGGCACAGCTTTCTATTTGGCCATAAATACACAACGCAACATATCCATCCATCCATTCATTTTCTTCCCCTTAATCCATTTCAGGGTAGGGGGGTGGCAGTCAGAGCACCAGCCCCTCACTGATCCTCCTGCAGGTGCTGAGACCACAGAATATTTCAGTGGGGGCTTCAGGCAAAGTGGGCTTAAGTGTCTTGCCCAAGGACACAACGACAGCAGTCATCAGTGGGAGTCGTGAAGTAGGTCTCGTGGTGGGCTTGAACCCACAACCTGAAGGCTCAAAGGCCAATGCTCTACCAACTGAGCCCCTGTCACAACATAAGTTTATATTAATTGCAGGTCAACACTTTACATCAAAAATACAATAAAAAGATAATGCCTTTATCTTAAAAAGAAGCCGTATAAAACACTGTAAACTAATAATACTGTAAACTAATAATACTGTAAATACAGATTAATCTGTAAAACACTCTAGAACGTTCCTGTACATCAGCTCTGAGGGTTTCTGTGGGAACTGTGTCCTCTGACACGGAGAGAACATGCAAACTCAACTCAGAAGGCCCTGTTCCAACCGGGACTCAAACCCAGGACCTTACTTTCTGAGAAGCAAAGAGTGCTAACCACTCAGACACCATGCTGTCCATCCACAGGAGAATACAGGACACACATGGCCCTAAAGATCTTTTTCCTGCTCCTGTGAATTAGTTGGAGCCTGGAGCAGCCTCAGACCCAACAGAAGATCTGCAGAGTACCAACCGAATAATATAAACACAGTTTTATCACTGTGTGTTTTCTCTGCTGACTGTCTTTTCTTTTAGAACACGAGATAATGCATGTATTAACCACGGTTGTATTGCGTTTCAGATTGACTTATTTCCCATAGTTCCAGAGGGTGAGGGTCACAACCAAAGTTAAAGCTGGTACATAGGGAGCAAAGTTTGAAAAGCACTAAAAAAAATGAAGATGATTAAAACATTGCAAATAGAGCCATAAAAAACGGCTTGTTTTAATTCCCAGAAGCAGAATTTAAGGAAAACAGTCTGTCAATGGTTCCCTGGAGATTTGCTGTTTTCCTTCAGAGCCATTGATTCATCTGTTTTAGTTGAAAGACAAATGTGACTGCGAGAAACGCTTCAAAAGACGAGGATTCAGGAGCTAAAAGCAGCCACAAAAATATTTGTTCTTAGGCTCATCACAAACACACTCGTTTCTCGAGACTCCTCCATTCCTTTTATTTTATACTCCTGTCCTGAAACAACCGCATCACCCCTGTTTGTCTCCGATTTCAGTCACTGTAAAACTATAAAAGAAACGTTTAATATTTAAATCGAGAAAACTAAAACAAAGAAGCGTTACAGACAGTTTTAAGCCAACGAGAAAACAATTGTATTGTTATTATTTATTATTTTTATTTGATTTTTGATGCAGTGTGCTTTGTTTCCGGTTCCCTCCGATGATTCTCTCTCACTGTCCGTTAGCTAGCTACATGCTAACTCACCGACAGAGCTAAAAGTCCAAATCAGACACGTGTTCATAGCATTAAAGTTTTAAAGTTCCACATGTGCCTCTAGTTTGTGTTATCACCCTCACTTTCAGATCGTACAATAATCTGATCATGAGGGGTTCAAACTAAAGTCTTAGTTTAGTCCCTTTAAAAGTTCTGTGCTATTTCTTTTGCTATCACCCTCTCGTTCAAATTCAAGACAAATCCAAACACGAGGGTTGGAGCAATGCTAGTCGGTTAGCTGCTTGCTAAAGGCGATGGTAAAAGTGAACAGCTTTGCTCACTTTTACCCCCTTTATCAAGCTAACCCCATTAAACCCCTCAGTAGCTAGCATTAGGGTCTTGTAGCTAGCATTGGGGTCTTGTAGCTAGCATTGGGATGTTGTGAGGGTGTGGATGTTTACTCTTCGATGGTGGGGCAGCAGCAGCATATGAAAGGCTTACAGAGACCTCTGAACACGCGGCTCAGAAAAGACTGCTTCCGCAGGTTGTGCTCGAGGTGGTACTGCAGGGACTTCAGAACCGTCTTGTCAAAAGTCCGGTCTTTTCCGTCCAAAGCACTTTCCAACATTCTCTGTGCCGTACCGTACTGCGATTTGAGGTCTTTCAAAATCGCGTCAATGATTTTACTCATTCTCTTCTCCGTTTTCTTTGCCTGGTGTTCAGAAAGCTGGATCTCCTCCCAGGCCTTTTCTGTCAAACGGTCGCGAATCACTTTGTATTTTTTGTCCCACGGACGCAGAGCTGCCTTTCCCCTGAACGTCTCAATCATCAAAGCCTCTATCAGGCCTAGAGTCATGGACTGGCCCTCGGACAAGTCTCTGTCACTGATTCTTCTCATGCCCTCTGGGGTTTTCAGGACAACCGCCGGGACGTCCTCAGAGATGAAAGAAGGCAGCTCTACTTTGGGAGGCACCATGGACCTCTCGAACAGGTCGTACTTCTGACTCCTAAAAGAATTCTCAGAGACGCCTGAGATTGTCCTGGTGCTGAACTCTGGTGTGCGTAAGACGATCGCCGGAACGTCTCTAGAGATCTGCGATGGCACACAGGCTCTGGGGTGCACCATAGACCTCTCAAACAGGTCGTGTTTCTGGCTGTTGAAAGACTGCCCTGACAGATGTTGAAAGTCCACCTGGACGGGGACCGACCCTTGAGAAGGAATGGACACATTACACGTCAGGGCCTGCTGGGAGTTGGGCGACAGAGGCGGCTTCTCCATGCACAACTCAAACAGATCCTGGCGGTAGAAGTTCTCCAATGGGTCTTGCGCTATGTAATCCTGGAGGCTTTGAAGGTAATTTGATACCTCCCTCTGCACCGTGGCTTATGTCGGCTGCAGGCTATAGCGCCTGAGCTTACATCTTACTCTTGTTTTCTGTGTGTATGTCTCCTCAGGATCTTGGTTCTGGAACTCACTCCTTATGTTTGGTGACGCAGCAAGAGAAAGTCCGTTTAGGATCTGAAAGTGACAGTACATTGTGTCTGTCAGTGTCTTAACAAAGGCAGTGGTTTGCTCACTATCCAAGGCCTGGGCCAGTCTTTCTCGACTTGTTTCTGCGTCAGGACTTGTCGACAGATCTAACTTTCTAAACAACTCTTCTATTTCTGGTTGAAACTGCTCAAAACTAACTTCTGGAGTTTTTCCCAGGTCTGGGAAACTCCCACAGCTCGTTTCTGGCTCTATCTCTTCAACCAAAAATTCTGCCTCCAGATTTTTCTGCTGCTTCGGAAATTCTTTTTGGCGAATCTGAGGAAGCTGCAGCGGCACGGCCCACTTTCCGAAGATTCCGACTTCTTTGTGGCAGTGCGGCGGCCGCAGGAACAGAACAAGGAGCAAAGGCACCTCTTGAGGCAGGAGTTTCCCTTCTCGATCATGCTGCGAGCCACACTCTCGCTGCTGATGAGGGAGTCCACCATCATAGAGCCCTCCTCCTGCTCCTCAGAAAGGACACGGTTCACCTTCGCAGACACCTCCTGCTCGATCAGGGTGGTGAGCTCCTGCGAGTCCTGGTGTTTGTCCAACGAGTCCGTGGGCAGATTCAGAGCCTGAGAGAACACTTGCCCCATGGTGTCCTGCAGCACAGTGACAATAGATCCGTGAGCTCGGGTCGTCTCGCTCTCACTCAGGAACCTGTTGTTCACCTCGCGTCTCGGAACCATCAGACCCAAGACGTTGGCGGACAGCGTTTGGACCAGCGAGATAAACATGGCGGTCAGAATACGCCTGGTCTCCAAGTCGCACATGCCTCTGGACAACATCACCCACTGACTGCCACTGATCTGCTCAAAGTGGCTCCTCACGATCTGCAGCGAGGCCTCCGACGAGACCGAGATCTCACTGAAGCGATCCATTCGCTACAGATGAGTCTAAAAAATAAAGAATTAAAGGTACTAGGGTTCTACGACACCTGGTTCTATGACACCTGGTTCTACGACACCAGGTTCTGTGACCCGTTTATCCGCGACATGTGTTAAACTTGCTTTGACTCACTTTGACTCCCGTTGACCCACACACGCGATCTCTGGTGGAGAATCTCGATGACCTCATCAGAATGACATGATGGCTCCATGGCAACCATCTGTTGCCGTGGAGACGAGTGAGTTGACTGTGGAGTTGTGAAGTGGGCGGGGCTTTCAGGTTCTGAAATTAAATTCCAGAACTCTTTGGTGTGTTTTTGGTGGTTGCCGTGACAACACATCTACAACACAACAATCAAACACACAAAGCTGTAACTGCAGCTGTTTATTCTGCATTGATACAAGTTCATGATTATTATAGGACGAGTTTGGAAACACAGAGTTTATATAATATATAGTTTCATATATATTTGGTTAAAGTATGTTGTTTCAGACGATACGACACAAACACAAGTGACAGTTGGGACATAAAAAGCTGCTCAGTGATGGAGGCAGAGGGAGTATGTGTCAGTCTGCCCCAGGGCAGCTGTGGCTACAGTAGTAGTTTATCCCACTGTGTATGGAGTGAAAGAATAATGCCATGTGAGGCGTCTTTGAGTGTCCATAATTCTGTTTTCTCTTCAAACCGCTGCATTATCACAGGCCCTAACCAGGCCCTGCCCTGCTTAGCCTCAGAGGTCTGACAGGATCTGGCTCCCACCTGCAGGTGGCGCTGTCTCTGTGAATGGTTTCTGAAATCATCTCTAACAACTCATGGCTCAAGCAACAATTAACTCCATGTGATGTCATTATGAAGTTGGAGATTAAATACTTTCATCTTCATTATGCTAAAGTTAGATGTTAATGTACTTTAGTAAAGAGTTATTGTTCATTCTTGGTTTTGGAGACGGCTATTGTTATTTGTTGGTTTCATACTATTTTTTTTTGCTAAAAGGATTTGATTTCTCACCCTGAAAACATGTACAAATGTTGGCACTTGGGGGTCTAGTGCGACTGGTTCAGCAATTTTCTTTATTTTAAACAAAAGATGAACCTTTTGAGATTGTCGGACGAACGCCGACAATCCCCCTTGTCCCCCTGGACATTTCACCAGAGGCCTCTAGCAATCCATGTTTGTTTAGTAGCAAGCATAAAACTATAATTAAATCAAGAATTAAATAAAAGGTTAATACAATACTTTCATGTTTCTTTACTTGAACTTGAATCACTTTGAGTTGGCTTGAACAGGGCTAAACAAATAACTTGCCTTCAATTGTTCCACTCTAACCCTAACTTAGCCTGGCCATAGCCATCTGTACACTCCGCTCAATCATCATTTCACTGCATGTAACGTCTGGGTCTGGTCCCTGTGTTAGCAAATACAATTGGCCGTATTTCGACCGGCTACTCAGAGAGCGCAGAAGGCGGGTGTTGTAGGTCGGTGCCGGTGACGTTGAGAGTTTGCGCCGAACGGGCAGGTTGTAGTTTGGCGAAGAATGCGATAGTAAAGTAATCCAGTCTGGTTCTATCAAGAAATTGAAGCAGGAGCAAGAGGAAGGTTTAGCAAATGTAATCGCTGGTCAAGATTGTGGCGCTACTACCCACGGGCTCCGTTTGCGGCAAAGGAGATGGCTAGGCTAAATGCTAAATGCTAACAACAAACTCGGGCGCATTACATACGTCACGGTAAACTCAGATCCAATCGTTTCAATCTGCAAAAGGAGTTAGCCCCTCCCACCTGTTCACGGAGTCAATGGAGCAAATCCAGACTTTAGTATGAAATGTAATTTGTACTATGGTGTGGTACGACTAGGCTAACCCTAACCCAGTGATTCCCAAACTTTCTCTGCTGCTTTGGTACATTGTAATTAATATAAACCTCAGCCCTAACTGCAGATTGTAATGTGTCAAAACGGTGCCCATTTCCTGCAAAGAGCTCCGCCTTCTGCAAAGACCTCTGTCTCCTGCTGAGACCCCCCGCAAAGAATGCTTATCATCAGTCATCGTCAAAATTATGTTGTGCTAATCTCTCGCTTCATGTGCGGAGCTTGCCACAAAAGGGGGGGTTGTAGGGGTACGGCTTTGTGTGCTGCCCTTCCTCTGCTCTGATAAGACCTCTGCCTCCCAGCATTCGGGGGAGGCCAAGAAGTCTGACCGTCTGTATGCAACAGTCACCTCAGCTCCAGGTTTGAGAAGACTTCCTCAACTCTTCAATAGCCTCTAGCTTCAACCTGGAGATGGTGGACCACTGAAGGACCACACGATGCAACCACAACAACTTATTCTTGTATCGTCTTAAATCACAACAGCATCATCTCAGAGACTTCACAAAACCATTGAAATCACCACAGATCAGAGAATCAACAGTTAACACACAAAATATACACATATGAATTGGTCCACAGGGAGAGACCAATGTCCATGAATGTTGATAAATGACATACATGTTGTAGAATGTTAAAGTGTCCTGGATCACCACAGTCCTTCTAGTTGGACACTAACTGCCCAACAGACTCCTGCATCGGCAAAGAAAAACTCACAAAAACCCAGTGGGAAAAAAAAAGTGAGAAACCTCGGGGAGACCCATGGTTTGAGAAAGGGATCCGCTCCAACACGGCTGGACGGGCTATAGATCCAGGACCTAAGCTACAGAACGAGGACCAATGCCACGCAGCAGCCGCAGAGCGTGGACAGGTCCGGTGCAGGACTGAAGAACTCCCAGGCGGGTCGGGCAGGGCAGTCCGCAGGTGAAGATGGAGAGGGCTGGTTCAGAGGTCCCGTTGTCGCACCATGAAACAGACAATGGGACAACGGGTGAATATCAATAATTCACTGTGATCCTGCATTGGTCTGGTCACTCCCTCTCTCTAGTATCTCTCACTAATCTTTTTCTCTAGTATCTCTCACTAATCTTTCTCGCTCTAGTTTCTCTCTCTGGCCTCTCTAGTATCTCCCTCCGGTCTCTATCTCTCCCTCTCTGGCATCTCTCACTAATCTTTCTCTCTCTAGTATCTCTCACTAATCTTTCTCGCTCTAGTTTCTCTCTCTGGCATCTGTAGTATCTCCCTCTGGTCTCTATCTCTCCCTCTCTGGAATCTCTCACTAATCCTTCTCTCTCTGGCCTCTCTAGTATCTCCCTCCGGTCTCTATCTCTCCCTCTCTGGAATCTCTCAATAATCTTTCTCTCAGGTATCTCTCTCTGATCTCTCTCACTGATCTCTCTCTCTGGTCTCTTTCTGGTCTCAGTCGGGTCCACGTTTTCCCTGTAATGTAATCTGTCTTCTTCTACTGATAAATGAGTTGAATGGATGAGCGTCCATGTAAGAAATGTGTTACTCAGAGATAAGTTTCACACCCAGAGAAGAGCAGGGGCAGGGCTGGACTTGTTTTGCAGATCCAAATAACAAAGATTATTTATATGAGAGAGAAAAGTATCGGTGCAAATATATCCCAGGAAAATAAGTGACTTCAAAGTAAGTTTTTAATTAGTAATTATACTTTAATAATGCTGTAAGGTTTCCTGTGGAGGAGCACAGAGCTAGGATCATGCATTTCTCTGGTGCACGGTGGACAAGTGTGTGTGTGTATGTGTGTGTGTGTGTGTGTATGTATGGGTGTGTGTGTGTGTGTGTATGTCTCTGTGTATGTATGCATTCATGTGTGTATGTTTGTATGTCTCTGTATGTGTGTGTGTGTCTGTGTTTGTGTGTGCGTGTGTGTGTATGTCTCTGTGTATGTATTCATGTGTGTATGTTTGTATGTCTCTGTATGTGTGTGTGGGGGGGTGTGTGTGTGTATGTTTGTATGTCTCTGTGTATGTATGGGTGTGTGTGTGCGTGTGTATGTGTATGTGTGGGGGTGTGTGTGTTAATGTTTACAGCAGGGGTTTCCAAAAACAAAATTTTTCCCAGGGCCACTTAAAGGAGTAGCTCTCTTCCTGGGACAGTAGCTCTCTGGGTGAAACAGGTTGGAGACTCCTGGTTTACAGTCTATGTTATGGACAGACTCTTCTGTCGTCAATATGCTAATTTTGAGGGAGTTGTTGGTTGGCACTCCCGCTTTCAGCAAGAAGGTCCTGGGTTTGAATCCCGGTCGGAAAAGGGCCTTTCTGAATGAAGTTTGCATGTTCTCCCCGTGTCTGTGTAGATTTTCCTGCAGGTGCTCCGGTTTCTCCTAACACAAAAAGCAAAACCTGAACTACAGGTATGATTGTAATGAGTGAGTGAAGGTTGGTTGAGGCTTTGATGCTTCAGTGTGCTTCATCATCACCGTGTGGAGAGAATGGAAAAATATCTGAACTCTGAACATTGTAAAGAGAGTTGGCGGACCTTGGTCTGTAAAAATGCGCTACATAAATACAGATATCTTACTTACAACCTGGATCCGTTGGGGCTGGGAAGACTCATCGGTTTGACCAACGATGACCATCTCTGTGAAAGGAGCTCTGTAAATCCAAATGACTTTTGTTTGATGCCTCTTTCTGAATCCAAACTCCTCTTGGATCCAAACTCTGTCCGTTTTCATAATCACGTCTCCTGAGAGCTCGACTGACTCTCAGGAGACGTAGCTCTCCGCCCCAAGGACAAGAACACAGAGAGAAAAGTTGAATGAATGTTCAAGGAGGCCGGTAATGGAAGCTGGAGTACAGGGTTCACCTGGAGGCTGGAGTACAGGGTTCACCTGGAAGCTGGAGTACAGGGTCCACCTGGAGGCTGCAATTATACCACAACTCGGATGTTTTGAAGGACTTTACAAAATGGATGACCCTTTATTTGATTCGAAGCCCTGAACCCAAGCCCCGGCGATCCAAGATGGCGCCCTATTCAAATGAATGGTCGTGCTCAGTGGCGCTTTGTGACGGCATGGGGGCTGAAAGATTAGCGGAAGTCGCCTGAAACTCTCAAAGATCTATGGGAAACTCTCAAAGATCTATGGGAAACTCTCAAAGATCTATGGGAAACTCTCAAAGATCTATGGGAAACTCTCAAAGATCTCTGGGAAACTCTCAAAGATCTATGGGAAACTCTCAAAGATCTATGGGAAACTCTCAAAGATCTATGGGAAACTCTCAAAGATCTATGGGAAACTCTCAAAGATCTATGAGAAACTCTCCTGTATTTGGGCATCGTCTGGTCCTCCCGGTTCTGTGCAGTGGATGATCTCCCATAATGCATTGCGCCAAACACGCGTGTGTGGGTCTCACACCGGCTCTGATGCACGTGCACAGAGGGTCTCACGCACGTGCACAGAGGGTCTCACGCACGTGCACAGAGGGTCTCACGCACGTGCACAGAGGGGCTCGGCTCTGACCAATCAGAGCAGTTCATCAGAGCGGGAGTTAGAGCGAGAGCCAGACGAGCAGAGTTTGTGGCACTAAAGTGTGGATTTAAACAAAACCGAAGGATTTAAGAAGAAAAAAAGTTCAGGATGACAAGGGACACTAAAATCCCCACAAAATCCAATCTTTATGAAAGCTGTAGGTTCTCTGTCAGGTTCTCTGTCAGCTGAGGTTGAGCTGTTTTAATATGCATTGAGTTCTATGGGGAAAATTTCTGGGTAGCCCATGTGAATTTAGTCTGGTTCAGTCTGGTTCAGTCTGCAGTACCGCGAGAATCCCCCGAGCACATGAGTTATTCAGCTACAAGCTGTAATACCCTATCCAGTTAATATAATAGATCCATGCCTGAACCCAAGAGAGAATCAGAACAAGGATTTGAAGTGGCTCATTTTGGTTAAAATCGACCATAAGCGTTTTATTTTGTTCTGAGAAATCCAGTAGAAATAACTAACTTGAAATAGTCGTGGGGGCGACAGTGGCTCGGTTGGTAAAGCATTGGTTTTTGAACCTGCTGTAGTTGTGTCTCTGAGCAAGACACGTACCTACTCTGCCTGAAGGCCCAGACGAACGAGCAGCCTCACCATCTGCAGGAGGACCAGTGAGGACCACCATCTGCAGGAGGACCAGTGAGGACCACCATCTGCAGGAGGACCAGTGAGGACCACCATCTGCAGGAGGACCAGTGAGGACCACCATCTGCAGGAGGACCAGTGAGGACCACCATCTGCAGGAGGACCAGTGAGGACCACCATCTGCAGGAGGACCAGTGAGGACCACCATCTGCAGGAGGACCAGTGAGGACCACCACCGTGTTTTTGTGTAAATTAGAATCCATCCTTTCTTTATATTTTCTTTGTACTTTCTTCACCATCTACAGTCACTAAGTACGAGTCCCATCAGCACACGCAGCGCACTTACCCATGGATCGGGCCCTCGGGCTCGGGCTGCGTGAAGGGGCCACTTTCTGTCGCTGCCAGGGGCCCTAACTCTGAGGCCGAGAGTCTGAGGCTCCACATCACTACTGTACATGTATGTACATAAGTATCATATGTGTATACATGTATGTGCATAAGTTTTCCCACTGGGTTTTCTTATGAGTTTTTCCTCTGATGCAGGAGTCTGTTGGGCAGTTAGTGTCAGACTAGAAGGACTGTGATGATCCAGGACACTTTAACATTCTACATGTATGACATTTATCAACATGTGTTCTATATTCTTTATGTGTCTAACTGTTGACTCTGATCTGTGGTGATTTCAATGGTTTTGTTAAGTCTCTGAGATGATACTGTTGTGATTTAGGGCTATACAAGAATATATTGTATTGTATTGTATAAGTATCACATGTACGTGTATATACATAAGTATCACATGTGTGTACATAAGTATCACATGTGTGTACATAAGTATCACATGTGTGTACATACGTATCACATGTATGTACATAAGTATTAAATGTATGTACATAAGTATCACATGTATGTACATAAGTATCACATGTATATACATAAGTATCACATGTATGGGCGGTAGTAGCTCAGTTGGTAGAGCGTTGGCCTTTGAGCCAGAAGGTCGTGGGTTCAAGCCCCGCTCAAGACTTTCACCATCGACTCCCACTGACTACTGTTGTTGTGTCCTTGGCAAAACACTTAACCTCTGGGAACACCAGCCACAGTGGGGCGGCTGTAAAGTGCCAAACTGCCGTTGTGTCCTTAGGCAAGACACTTCACCCCCATTGCCTAGAATGAGTCTGGTGTGTGTGTGAATGGTTGGTGGTGGTGGGAGGGGCTGATGGCACAGACTGGTTGCCTCGCTTCTGTCAGTGTGTCCCAGGGCAGCTGTGGCTACAGTAGTAGTTTATCACCACCGTGTATGGAGTGAATGAATAATGACATGTGAAGCGTCTTTGAGTGTCCAAAAAAGCGCTGTATAAAACCAATTTATTATTATTATTATTATGTATGTACATAAGTATCACATGTATATACATAAGTATCACGTGTATATACATAAGTATCACATGTGTGTACATAAGTATCACATGTGTGTGCATAAGTATCACATGTGTGTGCATAAGTATCACATGTGTGTACATAAGTATCACATGTGTGTGCATAAGTATCACATGTGTGTACATAAGTATCACATGTGTGTGCATAAGTATCACATGTGTGTACATAAGTATCACATGTGTGTGCATAAGTATCACATGTGTGTGCATAAGTATCACATGTGTGTGCATAAGTATCACATGTGTGTACATAAGTATCACATGTGTGTGCATAAGTATCACATGTGTGTACATAAGTATCACATGTGTGTGCATAAGTATCACATGTGTGTACATAAGTATCACATGTGTGTACATAAGTATCACATGTGTGTACATAAGTATCACATGTGTGTACATAAGTATCACATGTGTGTACATAAGTATCACATGTGTGTACATAAGTATCACATGTGTGTACATAAGTATCACATGTGTGTACATAAGTATCACATGTGTGTACATAAGTATCACATGTGTGTGCATAGGTATCACATGTGTGTACATATGTATCACATGTATCTGCTCTGGAGCAGCAACATGTGAAGACGTCTTTCATAAGAAACACATTTTAACAAGATTTAACTCAAGTCTGTCTGTGTTATTATTATTGTTATTGTTATTATTATTAATATTACTGTTGTGGTGACAGGGGAGCAGCGTCTGCAGTCAGAGCTATATCAGACTGTTGTGGTGACAGGGGGAGCAGCGTCTGCAGTGAGAGCTGTATCTGACTGTTGTGATGAAGGGGGAGCAGCGTCTGCAGTCAGAGCTGTATCTGACTGTTGTGATGAAGGGGGAGCAGCGTCTGCATTCAGAGCTCTATCAGACTGTTGTGATGAAGGGGGAGCAGCGTCTGCATTCAGAGCTGTATCAGACTGTAAGACAAGAACCAGTTCTAACCCGTGTGTGTGTTTCCTTACATCTATGACGTGTGTTTTTGGAGACTAGTGTGTGTGTATTTTAGGGCTGCACAATATATCAAAAAAATATTGTTATTGCAATATTGGTGCGTGCGATATCCATATCAAAAATATGCGTGATTAAAAGACACGCATATTATTAAAGACAACAAAACAGACAGACACATCAACGTTCAACAAGAACAACAAACAAAGTATATAAATATATGAAGAGTCACAATCACAGCGTAGCATCCTGCGTGGAGTAAACAATAATGGTGGCGTCCTGGGCTGGCGTCTGGGGCTGTCCTGGGGCTGGGGTCCTGGGGCTGGGGTCCTGGGGCTGGCGTCCTGGGGCTGGTGTCCTGGGGCTGGGGTCCTGGGGCTGGTGTCCTGGGGCTGGTGTCCTGGGGCTGGCGTCCTGGGGCTGGCGTCCTGGGGCTGGCGTCCTGGGGCTGGTGTCCTGGGGCTGGGGTCCTGGGGCTTGGGTCCTGGGGCTGGGGTCCTGGGGCTGGGGTCCTGGGGCTGGTGTCCTGGGGCTTGGGTCCTGGGGCTTGGGTCCTGGGGCTGGCGTCCTGGGGCTGGGTCCTGGGGCTGGGGTCCTGGGGCTGGGGTCCTGGGGCTGGGGTCCTGGGGCGTCCTGGGCTGGCGTCCTGGGGCTGGGTCCTGGGGCTGGCGTCCTGGGGCTGGGGTCCTGGGGCTGGGGTCCTGGGGCTGGGGTCCTGGGGCTGGGGTGGGTCCTGGGGCTGGCGTCCTGGGGCTGGGCGTCCTGGGGCTGGGTCCTGGGGCTGGGGTCCTGGGGCTGGGGTCCTGGGGCTGGCGTCCTGGGGCTGGGGTCCTGGGGCTGGCGTCCTGGGGCTGGGTCCCTGGGGCTGGGGTCCTGGGGCTGGTGTCCTGGGGCTGGCGTCCTGGGCTGGGGTCCTGGGGCTGGGGTCCTGGGGCTGGTGTCCTGGGGCTGGGGTCCTGGGGCTGGGGTCCTGGGGCTGGCGTCCTGGGGCTAGCGTCCTGCTAATAAAACAGGCCGTACAGTATCTATAAATGTGGTGCAGAATCTTTTCCTACTTTTCACCAAGAGTTAGTGGACATGTGTGCCTTTAATATGAGCAGCATTTGGGGGTGTGGTAATATGAAAAGTTTTAGAGTAAAATGAGTTTGTAAAACGCCTGCGGCTCAGCGGCGCGGAGGCGAAGCAGTAGAACTGAGCGGAGCCAGAGCAGAGCAGAGCGAACCGGAGTTCATTTAGCTGGTTTAGTTATTTTACCATTGCCAAAGTACTTCTACAGGCACTAACTGACTCAGATTCAGAGGAGAACGACACGCAGGGGTCCCGTGAAGAGGACACAGACATTATTATTCACAGGAGTCCGCGCTGTGGTCCACAGCACAGCGGCTGCTTCACCTCCGTGTGGCCGCGGTGGAAACATTCTGTGAACGCCAGGCAGGGCGTGGGTGGAGGGGACGGGGGTGGTGGGAGGGGGGGGGGGGGGGGGGGGGGGACACAAGTATGACAACCGCAAGGAACGAAGGAAAAGCCGCAGGAAAAGAACAGATGATGACGGCTTGTAGTTGTTGAGAGGAAGAGTATCAAAAGTGGATCAGAAGTGTCTGTTTTTGTGGAGACGATCTGACAAGCTCCATTCATTTATCTGTTTTAAATGAGCCTCGTTTCCACTGAAACAAACAGATTTGCACTAGTTCTTTGAAAGGGAAATGTTGAAACAGATTTCATGACTAAACTATACAGAGTGTCCCTGATCATTGGAGGTCTGTGATTTTCATCATGTCATTTTCTTGCTGAAGAAAACAGTTTTACTCAAATTGATCAAAATGGATTTATAGCACTTTGGAACCAAACTCTTCATATGTATTTGAATGTCATTAATTTTGTGCTTATTTGTTGTTATTTGTCTCGTGTGCTTCAAAGCAGATGCAATTTTAGGTGAAGGACCAAAATATCACAATAATATTGTTATCGCAAAACTAAACACTCATATCGAATATCGCACTAATGTCCAATATTGTGTCTTTGTGTGTGTTTGTGTGTGTTTCTCCTGCTGTCTTTGTGTGTGTTTGTGTATGTGTGTTTCTCCTGCTGTCTTTGTGTGTGTTTGTGTACGTGTGTTTCTCCTGCTGTCTTTGTGTGTGTTTGTGTATTTCTCTGCTGTGTGTGAGCTTAGTCTAAACATGTGTAAACTATAATTAGATTATTGTTATATAGATATCTGAAATGGAGGATTTTCAGTCATGAGCTTTTGCATGTTCTCTCCCTGTCTCCTCGTCCCTGATGCTGCACCCATCAGGTGTGTGTCTCTGCTGTTCCTTCTGTTGTGTGTCTTGAGCAGTGATAGGAGTAACGTTACTAACGCCGTTACTTTTTTCAGTAACGAGTAATCTAACTAATTACTTTGACTGTAACTATAACGCCGTTATCATTTCCAACATCCCGTTACTGCGCGTTACTCATGACGCACAATGATCCTGTTGTCATGAGAGAAGGATGAGAAAACCTCTCAGCAGATATTGGCTGATGTAAAACATATTTCCTTTACAGTCTACATGTCTACAGTTGAGAGGATGGTCATAAAGTGTGTTTTTGAAACAAATGGGTCTTAAAGTGGACATATCGTGTTTTCAAATAATTGATTTTTACATCTAAATCATTAATTTGTGGCCTATAGAAAGCGTAACTGCAATGCCTGGGTTTGAGTCTCATTATTTGTAGCTCCACGGGCCTTTCTTCTACACCTGTTCTGAGGTGCGTCTGAGAGCAACCTGTTTTGGTGCTGTCTCTTTAAATGCAAATGAGGCGCTTTTGACCACGCCCCCATCCAGGTTCAACTCCACCCCGAGCGGCCATTTTTGTAGTTTCTAAGCACAGATACAATTATCTCATAGAAACTTCTCATTACATCGCAAACATGAAGCAGTCCTTCCTCATAGACTGAAAGCAAATGTTATGTTTCATTCTTAGTCCAGTCTTATTATCGACTCTTCTCTTTTTAGCTTTGGGATCCATGCGCACAGTCTATGATGCCGCCTGGCGCGGGCCTACGTTGCAGGATATGACGCACTACGTTGACAGAAATGTTTAAATTGAATATTACTTATGCACAATTTTACAGCATTTAAAAACGTTAAGAACGTTTTTCCTTCTACAGAAGGAAAGAGACGCATGCGCCTCCGGAGCCGCAGGTTGCCGACTCCTGGTTTATACAGTATGTGGAAGCAAATACTGTAGAGGATCAGGATATGTGCAGTTTCAACAATAAAATAAAATGCAATAGTCTACATTACAGAGAGTAATAAACATGTCTCAGAGTGAGGGAGGTGACACAGACAACACTATTGTTTGTTACAGGGATGAGAATTGGTCAAAAAAGACAAATGCATATCGTCAGCCATTTGCTGGCTCTAAATCTGTTTAATTTGTTCACAACATATTACTTTTGGGCTCAAACATGAACTTTTAATGCAATGCAAAATGTAGGTATCAGAGCTTTATTTAGGGCGTTTAATGGCGCTTCGAGAGGAGAGGGAAGACGCGGACTGTTTCCTGCAGCAGTGTATTTATTGGGTGCACAGATTACTCAAAGACACGCATGGTCCTGTGCGCGTTTATGTGGTTGGGTACATGGCCACGTTGAGGCTGCGCGCTCAGCCGCAACAAGGTGGAGCCGCTGGACGCTCACAGCCTCTCGCCGCCGCTGGACGCTCACAGCCTCTCGCCGCCGCTGGACGCTCACAGCCTCTCGCCGCCGCTGGACGCTCACAGCCTCTCGCCGCCGCTGGACGCTCACAGCCTCTCGCCGCCGCTGGACGCTCACAGCCTCTCGCAGCCGCTGGACGCTCACAGCCTCTCGCAGCCGCTGGACGCGGAAGCTGCTCATTACAAAGCGGCCGCAGATGCCCCGGAACACTGCGGCCGCTGAGGTGGCGGAATCCCGCTCGAGTACATACAGCAGGTGCCCCGCGGATACACGCGCCCCGCTCCAACAATTCTCAACAGATTTACACTTCTCATAAACATGTGTTTTGTATGAAGCAGACAGACCGGCCCAAATATGGGCATAGGCCCTTTGGGCATTGCCCGGTACGCCCGATGGCCAGTCCAGCCCTGTGCGCTGGCATCCTTGAGCTTGGACTACAAATTAAGTGATGCACAGGGGAGGAGGGCTGGGCCGAAGTGTTTTGTTAGACGCCCATGCCCTTATATAGCAGTCTCGCTGAAAATACTGTGACGTAATAATTCTAAACACGTAATAGAGAATGGCAAAATCAGAACGGGTTGAAAAATCTTACCTAAACAGAATATGAAGTGTTCTCTGCAACCCATGAAGAGACTGATTTCAACTTTTTTGCACTTCTAGAGGCTCCAACTACACAACATAAGGCATTTAAGGCACAAAAAGTGGATTTTTCATGATATGTCCCCTTTAATCACACTCAACCACGGCTTGTATCAGCGTGAGGCCTCAGAGGAGCTCATGTGAGCGCAGAAGGCTGCATACAATTCCATGGATAAGCTCCTTTCTCTTCCTGGTTTATCTGCTAAGGACAGCAGCAGGTTTGGCTAACATACATATAACACATTTTAAGATAATTTAAAATGCACTTAGGGTAATTTTTCAATGACTATAGGAACGATAAGAAAGAGGGGAAGTGTAAGACGGTTGGTTTTAGAAATTGGATGCAGCCGGCTCCAGCAAAACACAGGAGTTTATGGAGGACACACGCGTTTTGTTTTACTTTTTAAAACTCATTGGACTCATTTCCAAATGGAGGATTACATATCTACGCTCAAACTATTATCTGGAATTTAACACGGAACTGGTCTGAACCGAAGTGGACTGTGCAGGTCATTTATAAGGTAAGACCCATAACTCATAGTTTTGTGTTTTGTATGAACAAACAATGCATGAAACATATTCTGCTGTAGCCAAACAAATTGTCCACTTGATTTATATGATCAAGTCAGTGCTTCTCCGGTGTTTCCACATTCACAGTGGAGCGTGTTGGTGTTTAGTGCTTACACAGAGAGAGATGAAGAGTGAACAGGACTTCAGCAGAAAAACAGACTTTTCTAGATGGAAATATCAGCACTATTTAAACTCACTGAGGTTAAAGGTTAAAGGTCAACATGTGCACCTCGAGTGCACATTATGTTCCAGAACAAAACAAAAAAGTAACGTAATAGTTACTTTTACTGGTAACTAGTTACTTTTATAGTGGAGTAACTCCGTTAGTAACTCAGTTACTTTTTGGGAGAAGTAACTAGTAACTATAACTAATTACTTTTTCAAAGTAACGTGCCCAACACTGGTCTTGAGCGGTGGAGATCAATTTCTCTCACTCGGACGGAGATGTCTCCAGCGCCTCTCGCTTCACTGTCTGTGGACGGAACAGAGATGACACCACATTATAAACCAGTTTGTGTGACCTTTGTCTGTGAAATGGGCTGAACAAATACAGCCGACTGGATCATGCTGGAGGTTCTCTACGTCTCTGTAATTGCCCACAGAGCGCTTGATGTAATGTGATCTTTGGAATGTCAGGCGCTGAATTCCTGGATAAGCTTTCAGCAAAAGGTTTCAGAGTCCGTCAGCGCCGGTTATCAATTATTTATTATGTGGCCTTCAGATTCCAGCCACTTCTTGACACGAGAGAAGAAATATTATGCACTATTTTTGGCCTCCGTTTTAGGCTGTTTTGTCAAACAGGTAACAGGTCAAATAGCATTCAAACTCCCTGCCACTAGTTGGCAGACATGTCGTACTACATCCCCAACTATAAGTCTTGCTTCTATACAAAATATTTGAGCAAGAGAATAATTCAGACATGGATCTATTATAACAGTCATGTGGGCTATCCAGAAACAAGTCCCATAGACCTCAGCTGACAGAGAACCTACAGAGAACCTTACAGAGAACCTACAGAGAACCTGACAGAGAACCTGACAGAGAACCTGACAGAGAACCTGACAGAGAACCTGACAGAGAACCTACAGAGAACCTGACAGAGAACCTGACAGAGAACCTACAGAGAACCTGACAGAGAACCTGACAGAGAACCTGACAGAGAACCTACAGAGAACCTACAGAGAACCTGACAGAGAACCTACAGAGAACCTGACAGAGAACCTGACAGAGAACCTGACAGAGAACCTGACAGAGAACCTGACAGAGAACCGACAGAGAACCTGACAGAGAACCTACAGAGAACCTGACAGAGAACCTACAGAGAACCTGACAGAGAACCTGACAGAGAACCGACAGAGAACCTGACAGAGAACCTACAGAGAACCTGACAGAGAACCTGACAGAGAACCGACAGAGAACCTGACAGAGAACCTGACAGAGAACCTGACAGAGAACCGACAGAGAACCTGACAGAGAACCGACAGAGAACCTGACAGAGAACCTACAGAGAACCTACAGAGAACCTGACAGAGAACCTACAGCTTCAATAAAGGTCATATTTTTAGGGGATTTTAGTGTCCCTTGTCATCTTTGTCTTGTTTTCTTCCTGCTCTGATCAGCAGCTCTGATTGGTCAGAGTACAGCCGAGCCTCTCTGTGCACGAGCATGAGAGCGACGCACATGTATTTGGCGCAAAGCATCATGGGAGCTCGTCCAGTGTAGTGAAACGGGAAGATTAGATGAAGCCCAAATATCCCAGTCAGGAGTTCCATGTCCAGAGGCTGATGCTCTTCAAGATCAGAGCTGGAGGATTATTTTTCAACAACAGACGGAATACTTCTTCTCAAACATCCTTCCATGTTCTTCCACTTTATCTGTTGCCGGCTTGCAGGGGCAGCACTCAGAGCAGAGACATCCAGACTTTCCTCCAGCTCATCCGGGGGAATCCTGAGGCGTTCCCAGACCAGAGAGAGACACAGTCCCTTTGTGCCCTGGGTCTTGCCCTGGTCTCCTCTTGGTGGGACGTGCCCAGAACACCTCCTCAGGAGGGTGTCCAGGAGGCGTCCCAAACAGAGGCCTGAGCCACCTCCACTGGCTCCTCTACACAAGGAAGGGCAGTGACTCTATTCTGAGCTCTTGCCTGGTGACTGAGTTCCTCCTCTTATCTCTAAGGGAGCTCCCAGCCACTCAGTGGAGGAGACTCTTTCATTCATTACCCAAAGCTCATGACCAGAGCTGAAGGAGCAGACATAGAGCTCTGACTGCAGACACTGCTCCTGTAAATCAAGAGCTTTGCTTTTTGCCTTAGCTCCCTTGTATTCCTCATTATTTCCTGAGTGGCCACGCCCCCTGCTGCGTTCATAGAGCAGACCGTCACAATGTGGACTTTGTTAGTTTTCACCTGGTTTTATTTTGATATATTTTTCATCTTCTCACAAACCAGGCTCCAGCTGAGCAATCCCAAGAGGGTTTATTGGATGAAATAGCCCGGCTAAAAGTTCATGTGCAGATGGAGTTTGAGAAGTACCAGACCCATGTGATTATTGCAGCAACGACGTCACAGCACAAAGAACAACTGAAAGCTAAAGACGCTATAATCCAACGTCTCAGAAAAAAGAAGAAGGATGTGTTTAGTGGCCTCCAGGAGAAGGTCCAGAAGGCGGTGCAGGACGAGACACCAGGCCAAGGCCAACTCTTTCCTCCGCGGGCAAGTGGAAAGTTTAAAGAACCAGGACCAGGTAAATGTCCAGCCGCTCCTGGACCAGATCGCTAGTTTGAATCAGGATCTAAAAAAGGAGCAGGAGGAGGATGTAAACCTGAAGTCCTCCTTAGGACACTGAGAATAATAAAGTGGAAGCAGTGGAGAGAGACAGCAGCTGACAGGAGTCAGGCCTGAAGCGAGCTCTGGGTGATCATCAAACTACAGTCTGCTGTGGAAGACCTGAGGTTACACCTGAGCCAAGAGAAACACTCACTGACCTCCTCTGCTCAGAAGTGAATGATCTCAGCCTCACGACACAGGAGCAGGAGGAGATAAGTCTGACTTTGAACCAGAAACTTAAAACAGTGACGAGTGTTTTCAGGACTGCGATCGATGCCAAACAACCATGACCTCTGCTGAGGATCAGAAAGATCAACTTGCAACAACTGTGGACAACACTAAACAGGAAATAGAGAAACTGAAACTGAAACACGGAGCAGAGGAGCCTCCTGCAGGAGAGGATCCAGGAGCTGTCGGAGGCTCTGTGCGCCTCAAACCAGAACAACTCAGACCTGGAGGAGCAGAAACCTGCAGGAGGTTCTCAGAGCAAAGAAGGAGGAGCTGCAGGAGGTTCTCAGAGCAAAGAAGGAGGAGCTGCAGGAGGTTCTTAGAGCAAAGAAGGAGGTGCTGCAGGAGGTTCTTAGAGCAAAGAAGGAGGTGCTGCAGGAGGTTCTTAGAGCAAAGAAGGAGGTGCTGCAGGAGGTTCTCAGAGCAAAGAAGGCGGAGCTGCAGGAGGTTCTTAGAGCAAAGAAGGAGGTGCTGCAAGAGGTTCTTAGAGCAAAGAAGGAGGTGCTGCAGGAGGTTCTTAGAGCAAAGAAGGAGGTGCTGCAGGAGGTTCTTAGAGCAAAGAAGGAGGTGCTGCAGGAGGTTCTCAGAGCAAAGAAGGAGGTGCTGCAGGAGGTTCTCAGAGCAAAGAAGGCGGAGCGGCAGGAGGTTCTTAGAGCAAAGAAGGAGGAGACCAGCCCATGTCTGAAGAGGAGGCTGGGGCTGGTCTCTGCTGTTCTGCCAGAGGTCCAGGCTCTGACACAGACCAGGACTCAGTAGGTCCTGAGGACACAGGCCCACGGACCCCCTGCTGTGAGGGACTGTACTTAGCACTGAGCCTCATGGAGCTCTGCAGCGGCTGAAAAGTCCAACCTCTGCTTCAACAGAATCCAAAGCAGGCCCATCCTCTGAAGAGAACAGATCTGGAAACTCAAAGTTTGTAAATGTTCCACCACAGTTAAATGGTTTAAAAGTAACAAACACATAGAAATCTACGCAAACTTTAGCAGATGATTTTAAAGAAACATATACAGTAGTCCAGGAATCGATTCCTGGATCGCTTTGGAGCTAATGAATCACAACAATTGGGTGAAATAGGACTAGGGACAAACGTTTTGACAAAGTCTGCGAGACTGAGACTGACGAGACACACACATCTTTCCTGACGTGTGGAACAGCTCCTCTGGAGGCTTCAGAATAATGAGCACTGATGCAGAAGGAGGCATCAAACACAAGACAGTACCAAGTAGTAGTCCTAAACCAGGACCAAAACAGGTCTAAAGAATATCCTAAACCAGGACCAAAACAGGTCTAAAGAATATCCAAACCAGTCCCTTGAATTATTAGTTATTAAAGATGCTATACCCGATTTTACACACAAGTTGTATTATAATCCGTACTTTAATGTAAAACTTGAGCTCATTGATTCAGCTCAACTCCTCTGGCTGTAACTGCAGACACAGCAGAACAGCCCAAACCACACAACAGTGAGGAAGAGAAGAGGAACTAAAGCAAACCATGATCAAAGAAGAAACCAAGCCCTGAACAGAGCTAGCTTACATCGTATCCACTGGAGAGACTGGTCTGTGGGAGAGACCTGCGGGACCGCCTCGGACTATCTACGCTCGGACTATCTGCGCTCGGACTATCTACGCTCGGACTATCTACGCTCGGACTATCTGCGCTCGGACTATCTACGCTCGGACTATCTACGCTCGGACTATCTACGCTCAGACTATCTACGCTCGGACTATCTACGCTCGGACTGTCTACGCTCGGACTATCTACGCTCAGACTATCTGTGCTCGGACTATCTACGCTCAGACTATCTACGCTCAGACTATCTACGCTCAGACTATCTGCGCTCGGACTATCTACGCTCGGACTATCTACGCTCGGACTATCTACGCTCGGACTATCTGCGCTCGGACTATCTACGCTCGGACTATCTACGCTTGGACTATCTACGCTCGGACTATCTACGCTCGGACTATCTGCGCTCGGACTATCTACGCTTGGACTATCTACGCTCGGACTATCTACGCTCGGACTATCTGCGCTCGGACTATCTACGCTCGGACTATCTGCGCTCGGACTATCTACGCTCGGACTATCTGCGCTCGGACTATCTACGCTCGGACTATCTACGCTTGGACTATCTACGCTCGGACTATCTACGCTCGGACTATCTGCGCTCGGACTATCTACGCTGGACTATCTACGCTCGGACTATCTACGCTCGGACTATCTGCGCTCGGACTATCTACGCTCGACTATCTGCGCTCGGACTATCTGCGCTCGGACTATCTACGCTCGGACTATCTGCGCTCGGACTATCTACGCTCAGACTATCTGCGCTCGGACTATCTACGCTCAGACTATCTGCGCTCGGACTATCTTCGCTCAGACTACATTCCCATACGCAACAGAAATATACTTCCCAATATATTATGTCACAATATATTTAATGCCTATTCATATATTACACATAATATATCTCAGGATATATTATATAATGATATATTATATATGCAAGTGATATATTATACAGTATATTAAAATACTGCAATTATTGCCGTTTTCATATATTGATTAAACACATTGTTATACTATTTAATATATTGTTAAATATATTGAAATATGACCCATAATGTATTCAATTATATATCAGAAGTATTCTAAATATATGTTTAAATATATTCAAATATGACCCATAATGTATTCAATGATATATCAGAAGAAGTATTCTAAATATATGTTTAAATATATTAAAATATGACCCATAATGTATTCAATTATATATCAGAAGAAGTATTCTAAATATATGTTTAAATATATTCAAATATGACCCATAATGTATTCAATTATATATCAGAAGAAGTATTCTAAATATATGTTTAAATATATTGAAATATGACCCATAATGTATTCAATTATATATCAGAAGAAGTATTCTAAATATATATTTAAATATATTCAAATATGACCCATAATGTATTCAATTATATATCAGAAGAAGTATTCTAAATATATGTTTAAATATATTCAAATATGACCCATAATGTATTCAATGATATATCAGAAGAAGTATTCTAAATATATGTTTAAATATATTCAAATATGACCCATAATGCATTCAATTATATATCAGAAGTATTCTAAATATTGTAAATTCCTCCTCTGTGAGATAAATAAAGAAAATCTTATGTTAAAATATATTCAAATATGACCCATAATGTATTCAATTATATATCAGAAGAAGCATTCTAAATATATTATGCAATTATGACATTTTTACCTATATATTGAGATATACCTCAATGTGTTTATATATATTGTTTATGTATTGTACAGTATCTTGTATACATGGCATTTATGAATTTATTAAATGGGCATTTTCAGAAAATCAAATGTACAATTTCTGTTTTATAGGAATATTAAATAATACATCAATACAGTAATTCCTTAACTACATAAAGTTTATTTTTAAACAACTATATAAACATATATCTATGTTAAACTGAACTGTTCAGTTCAAGCATTTAGAAATAACCATCGTTCAATAAAAAAATAATATTCCTGAAATACACAGGACAACAAACAAGTGCACACGCTAAATTCCACTGCCTGTGGACTTCTTCTTCTCCTGATGCCTCAGTTCGCAAATTCACTTATTAATGGCTGTTGGAATATCAGCGACCTGCACCCCCGGGTGTTTCTGAGTAACTGCATCTGTAAAAGATAACATGATAAAAACAAATGTTATCCTCTGATTGTTGCAAAAGGAAGGTGGATCCTGTTGTGGAAATTCTGCACTGACCGAGAGCAAAAATAATGTAAACAACCAAGAGCTGTAACACAATCAATGAGTTTATTAATTAGTAAATGTGCACATATACAATGAATCATGGAACCGATACCACCTGCAGCAGTCTGAAACAGTTTGCCACAAAGAAGGAAATGACTGACATTAAATAGACCAGAGTAAACAAAGACATATCTACTCTAAATATTACACAAATTAAGTCAGTATTGATATGTGTCGCTCAAGGCTTCTCTTTACGCTTCTTTACACTGATACAACTCAGATACTCGTAATCTGCTTTGACCTGAACACATTGTTCTTTGGCACAAATATTGCCAAAGATATGTATAAACACTTCTCCATCTATCAGCTTACTATTAGTTAATTACTTACACTACACATCAACTATTTTATGTTCATTTAGATTGCTTTACTAAAAGATTTCTATAACAATCCCAATACTGGTAATATTTTTCTAGCATATATTAGTCCGCTAAAAATATTGTTTTAGTCTTACCAAATAAAGCTTTTAGCTTCTTGGGATCCAGAGGCTGACGTCTCTCAGCAGTTGGGTCGACCTTGTTAATCCCTCCAGTCAAGTTGGACTTCAAGAGGACATCGATGCTAAACAGGCCCAGCAGGAGGGTGCGGGCCATGCCCTTTGCAGTTGGTTGCGCCTTCGCCGTCTCCCAACAATGGGCAGCCACCCGGATGGCGTCATTCCCTAGTCGCACCTAATCAATTGTGATAAGAAAAGACAAACAGGAACAAAAAAGAGAATTTTAGAAAATTACCAATGGCAGAATGTTTTTGACTCATTGTCTGCCAGCCTATTTCAGAACAGGTACTCCCATATTGCCAGCAGTTTTCTAATAATTATTATAGATTTTAGGACCCACAGAATATTGTGTACTATGACTATCTGAAATCCAAAACCAGATTCTGAAAGAATGGAATTTCTACTTTGTCAGCAAAAAGCTAGCTTGTTTCGTTCCCCTGTAATCCCCAAACGAGTAGAGGGAAGTTTTATTGAAATCACCAAAAATCTGAGGAAAAAGAGGCACAAGTGCATCTAATTGTTTTCAAACCATCCAGAGAGCGCTGCAGCCACCTGCTGACTCGATAATATATGCTTAAGCTAATCCCCATACATAATAGAAAAGACATCTGGGGACATGAAAATAGTGGAAAACGCAATTGACGTATTAATGCATCAATGACACACAACGAGTTAATCGATTATTATATAAATGTACTTACTGATATTGATTTGGGAGATGTGGGTTGAGGAGATGAAGGTAGAGTCTCCACCGTCATGGCTTGCGGGCATCTTGTCTGCAATGAGGGTCTTCACAGCTGCTAAGACGGATGGAATTTCTGGAAAATATGGCCCACTGAATTTACTACAAAAGGACACCAAACAAGTTACAAATACATAACAATAAAAAAAAAATCTCATTTTTGGTGTTTCAAATGTGCAGGAAAATGTGTTGAGGGCTTCTGAAGGCATTTCTAAAAGCATTAAGGGTGAGAGTGTGAATCAACCCGGAGTGCTGTCGATAGGTATCAGAATGACAATAGGTACAACGGGGTAGGAAAGCAGCAGCTATACGAACAGATGCGGGCATATGAAAACCAAACTTGCATGTCCTGATCAGTAAGCGTTGGCTGCCATTTCACTATTTGGTCTACCGTGCATGAAATTCTGTCGTTCTCGTACCTAGCAACAGCACTTAACATGAAACAACAGGGCTACAGGTTGATTCAGTCCAGAAAATCCCTTTAATGGTGAAATTATCCCATGTGAATTAGCTGCACGCGTTTCAGCCATTTGTTCATTATATCAATGACTTTAGTCTGTCACTCATTTGCCATATAAGGCCAGTTGTGCGTTCCAACAACACTTTACTCAAACACTGGGGAGACCGGTCCTTCTCAGTCCTGGACCCAGACTCTGGAACAAGCTGCCCCCTGACATGCATGTCCTTACTCATTTTGGCCTTTTTAAATCGAGGCTCAAAGCGTATTTCTTCAGACTGGCTTTTAACACTTTTATCACTCAATAGCAGGTGACACTTTTTTAAATGCTTTTTAACTGTTTTATTGTTTTAGTGCATAAATGTTTTAAATTGATTTTATGTCATTTTATTGTGAAGCACTTTGGTCGCCTTGAGTGTTGTAAAGGGCTCTATAAATAAAATTGATTGGCAAAACTGTGTGCAGGCTGAAAAGCACCGCGCAAAGCACTTTTTTGGACTTGAGCACATTGGAGGATTCACCTCTTAGTGTTTAGTCCAAGGTCAATTTTTGTTCCAACTGGAGACCCTATATACTATATTTGTAGATTTCCCCTAAAATGTATACACAGGTAGGCCTATATCTTTATTAACAATAACAAAAATGAGAAAATTATCCATACAATCTAAAAGAATGCCTTTTTTAATCTGAAAGAGATAAGTTACCTTTTATTGCCATTTTGCGCAGATATGCGTTCTCCTTAGTTAGAGCCTTGACTTGGGTCTCAAGATCTGCAGAAGATCCTGCTTTCTGCTGGTCCCGTAGTCTTTTAATTTCTTCCCTGAGAGCCCTGTTTTCTTCCTCAAGTTTCTCAGAAGTAGTGAAACTTGAGGAAGTAGTGTCCACTGGGCTGAGTTCAGGTTCATCTTGGGATAAAAGCTCCATCTCAGACCGTCTTGCAGCCATTCGTTTGTAGTCGAGTTTCTGTTGGGTAATAATAATCAAACCAATTATGTATGAAACATTAGGAGAATGGAACCCTGAATGGATCACAATTAATTATTAGGGTTAATATTAACATAGTTGTAGTACTATAGTACATACTGACACATCACAGATGGGCAATTTACCAATTAACACAACATACATTGGCATGTGGGAGGAAGCCAGAGTATGCAGGAAAAAAATGGCAAACTCCACACAAAAAGGCCCATGCCAGCCAGTGAGTTAGAACTCAAGGGCTCGACACACGGGAGGCGACAAATGAGAGCGATCAGCGAAACTCAACGCTGTCACTCAGATAACATGACAGACGGGGCGTGATGCGGCAAGCGGCACAGGCCGGCGATGCCACCTCCGCTGATTGGTTCTCACCTTGACGACAGCGTCAAAAAGTTGAGCCAATTTCAACTTTCTGGGATCGCGTCGCTGACCTGCGCGTGCACGATACATGCACGAGCGGGAGGATTTCACACGCACGTTTTTCGCCCGTCGCTGAGCAGGAGGCTCGCTAGCGATTGACGCTATGTCGCGCACGTCCCATTGAAAATGAATGGAGGCGATGCGATGTTGCCTCCCGTGTGTCGAGCCCTTCAGAACCATCTTGCTGTGAGGTGACAGTACACCACACCACCATGCCGCTAGTCCCAAAATTATTGCAGCAAATACTTTTTATTTTCTATAGTTTATGTTCGGCTGGCTCACAACCCAAGTACAAAAATCAGATGTAAAAATACATTAACAGCAGCCATAAAAGAACCCCTTACCTTATTTGCAACTATAGTTTCTTCCTGGGTGTTAAGGTACAGTTTATTGGGCAACCTCATTCTCTTTTTGCCCTTCGGTTGATTCTCTTCCAAGAGATTTCGCTCTGCAACCTTGAGTGTAGACTCCTTATCTGTAAAAAACAAATAAATAGTAGAAAGAAGGAATTTAATGTGACTTACATTAAATCAAATACTTTCAGGCTGCGGACCACATAGGGACAGTGTGTACCCCCAACACCACTTCTAAACAAAGCCAACTTTTTTTGCATGCTCTGGCCTTGCTAAATGTGAATTTGAATGTAAACTCTGAACATGGGATGTACTACACATTTCAGCCATGCCCATTGAAGTTTTCAGAGTAATTGTATTCAATTTAAATAGATTAGAAAAGTATGCATAACCCATTGGTTGGAGGCAGTTGTCAATTCAATGAAGTTCATATGTAGAAAGACGCAGACGCAGAGGCTAATGGCTGTTAGCTAGCCTGCTAAAAATTCAAATTAAGCAGGACTGCATGACTTCGACCTGGTCCCGCTTAATTAACTGTCCAAAAGCTAACTTTACATGGCCGGTAAACATTACTTGGAAAATGATGCTAAAAATCTCAGCAGGTGCTACTATGATTATTGTATGATTAATTAAGTATAACGACATAAGCACAGATACTTGCCTGCTAACTGCAAAATGTGTGCAGATTCAACTGGCCACCCATTAGTAGGCTTTTTCATCCCAATGCTGCGGCACTCGACGAGATACTCTTTTTTCGTGTTTTCAGGATCAAATTCTATGACCCACTTTATGGGCACTATGCTAAGGGCGCCTTTATCATTCCCCTTCGACCAACTCACAAGAGCAAACTTCATTTTCAGAATAAAAAAGTGCACTGGTAGATGCCGTTAATGCTAGGTAACGTCTGTTATTCTTCCCGCCCGAGTTTGTATATGGCTCTGTTCGCGCCAGGTTAAGGTGGTTATGGTAACAACTAGCTCGCCCAATCAGATACGTTGGTGTTACAGCGTTGGTTTCTGGGTAGTGTTTTAACATTCTGCCGGTTAACATTAGCATTTTAGCATCTGTGTCATTGCCACAATGTGATTGCTGTACAAAAAAGAGAATGGGCGGGATATTACCTTCTGGAAACCATGCGAGTCACTACTGCGGTCTTTTTTGATGCTGTGGAGAGTTCCATTCTTCCCATCGCTTGAAGAGAGGTATCGATATGGACGGAAGGAGAAGGAAATACATTGCCCCTGATTCAGAATATGAGATTCCATCAAGAACAAGGAGATACTGGAAAAGGAGGTTTGTGTTTTTCTCCAGCCTAGTCTAGTAAGCTTACAATAATAGTTGTTCTGTATTTATGCTACTGTTGTAGCTAGTTCTGTGGTGTGTTTGTTTTTACAAGTTTGACTTAGCTAGCGCTAGCTAAACGTAAGTAGCATGATGCAGCACACTGGCTAGCAAACTTAGGCCCCGTTTATACAGAGGCGCTGCGCACACGTTTCCATCCAAGCTATTAAAAGAAACGACCAGGCTCCTACTGCTAATTTCACAGCGTTCATATTATAGATCTATGGTTCATACGGGGATAAGAACGATGTAGTTCTAGCTCCCGGCCAGTAGGAGGCAGAGTAACCTCAGCCCCGGCAGTATACAGCGTTACTTCCTCAACAACATCCGCATAGGCGCCGCAAAAACATGCACCAACATCATTCTGCATTCAACAACCGCTGCAAAAAATGGAAACTGAACGAAGGAGTAGATTTCTCCATGTAGCGCTCGAAGCACACGGAGCTAATTCATGTACCCACCGCTATTGTTGTTTAAGTTTCATCTCTGCTACTGCGTATGTCCAAATGTAACAGCGGGGAGGTGGGGGTTAGAGCAGATGCAGAAATTTCACACCTTTTTCTTCAGGCTCAAAACAGCCTCTGACAATAGATTTTTTTTCTCATTCTTATTCTAGGAAGCTGATTGAGGACATCAACAAGCATCTGTCAAAGCAGGGAACGGTGAGTCAGGCACATGACTTTTTGTGTTTATTTTGGTGACAACATGCTGCACAACATGGCCACAAATTAATCAGATAACTGAAATAATCTTTCTTGATTAGTATCTATTTTGAATGTTAAGCAATGTTTTGTGTCAGACCCAATGAGTAGTGGAATAATCGGAAAGCTGTCCATTTGAGAAATTTTGTGGCAAAAACTTTCATCCACTTTGCAGGCGGTGAGCATTTGGCCCATTTAAGATAGTGATATTTTTTGCTATGATGTTTTAAACATTGATATGAAGTACAGCTTACTTCAGGTAATTATAAGGCTTTGCGTGTATATACTGTATAACCATCTATACCATTCATATGCTTTGTCTTAAACTTGATCAGGAGTCCTCTGACGATGGCTCAGAAGACAGACTCGATGGTGGTGGGATTACTGTAAGTAATCTACTGATAACTACTACTAACTGTTCTCTGTTTCACTGATAGTAATTCCACTAAGACTTCTCTCTTCTTACACAGCATAACTTGGATCAGGAGTCCTCTGACAACAAGTCTGAAGATGGACATAATAGTGATGATATTACAGTAAGTATAATTTACTTTTCCTGGGATATTGGATGACTAGAATATTGTTTTGAACCGTCCTGTTCACTTTGCAGACATTGAACATTTTGCTTCCTCCTCTTAAGAGAGAGTCCTTCGAAACCCTGTTATTGCTAAATAGTGTTTAATTATGAAATATATTTTACATAATACAGAATCAACATAATCAGCCATGCATACAATTATGCTTTGTCCTAAACTGTTCTCTATTCTTACACAGCAGAAACTTGATCAGGAGTCCTCTGACGATGGCTCAGAAGACAGACTCGATGGTGGCGGGATTACTGTAAGTAATCTGCTGATAACTACTACTAACTGTTCTGTGTTTCACTGATAGTACTTCCACTAGGGATGTAAATCGGTGACCGTTTAACCGGTGGTTGACCGTCACAGCGTTAACCGCTCAAAGCAAAGGGGAGATGGCTGTTATTTCAAAGAACGTGGACTATTTTAAACTACGCGGTTAACCGGTTTCAACCGGTTAATGAGGCTCGGTGGTCGGTCATGAAAATTCATAGTTTTTTTACATCCCTAACTTCCACTAAGACTTCTCTCTTTTTACACAGCAGAACTTGGATCAGGAGTCCTCTGACAACGGGTCGGAAGATGCACATGATAGTGATGACATTACAGTAAGGAATTTTACCTCGCCAATGATCTCACATATGATTTTGTCTTCAAACATACACTTGTTTGCTTTTGTTTTTTACCTAACTTGATGAGCTTAAGCCTTATTTTTACCCTGTATACACCAATGCCACAAATTTCCTAGAGTTTGTCAACTTTTCTTTTTGCCCTTACAGAGCCTGCACACAGACCCTGAATCAGAAGAGCTACCACCAAATTTGAGCCAAACAACAGAGTCATCAATCTTCAGCTTTGAGGACAGTGTTGACCATGGTGTGTTTGAACCACTATGGCAGTCCTTCACTGACTCTGAATCCATTGGCAGTGGAGAGGAATTTTCCATGGAAGACGGCACGGACAAGTCAGTAAATGAAGAATCACATTTGGGAGTAGACGTTAATGAAAGGCTTCCTCCAGTAAATGATGAGCCACTTTACACAGGCTCACAACTGACAAAAGCTCAGAGTTTTTTACTTATACTTTCATTTGCTTTGAGACACTCACTCACTGGTGTGGCCCTTACTGATCTTTTAGATTTGATTAATATCCACTGTCCAGAAAAGGTTCTAACTTCAAAGCATCTGTTCCTAAAAGAGCTTAAACCAATGCAAGGCCACCTAGAATGTCACATATATTGTCCTAACTGCAGAGGTGTCAAAAGTACCAGTGTTCAGTACTTAAGTAAAAGTACTAATACTTGTGCAAAAAACTACTCTGGTAAAAGTAAAAGTACTGCACCCTCTGCCTTACTTAAGTAAAAGTAAAAATGTACATACTCTTAGATGTACTTAAGTAAAAAAGTAAAAAGTAAATCGATATTTTTCCTCTTAAAAAAAAAGAAAAAAAAAAAACTTGTTTTGACCTTCAAATTCTTTATTCTTTTACTCAGACTCAACTCAGAGTACTGCTGCACCGAACAAAATAAATGTCACTTTGTGTGAAATTAAATGCACATCCGACAATGTAGTAATACCCGTAAGATCATTCAAGAGCGCCTGCAGAATGTGGTATTTTCATCATTCCTATAACTTAAACTACAAACTGTAAAAGTGCAAGAAAAACAAAGTGCAAAAACATCCCAAATAACTTGGAGCTTATAGTATGACCAAACTATACAATGGGAAAATGGAACCATCCCGATATATAAGGGGAAAAGCAAACTACCAAAATTTTGGATTTAGCTTCAACAGAAGCATGTTTTCAAGGTTTTGTGAATGGATGCGTGCCCTTTTGGGTCGGAAAATGAGTCCTGCTGTGCTGAAGAGCCTTTCGCAGGCAGCAGAAGCAGGTAGTGGAGTGTTCAGCTGTAGTGAAAGGTTCAGGACTGCAGGAAATGACTTCAAGATTTCCATGGTGTCATTGGGACAGGCCAGGTATGACTCAAGCTGTTTGGTGTTTTCTTGCAAGTTCCCTTGCTTGATAGGTGAAAAAAAGTCATCTTCCTCTGAAGAAGGCGTGGAGTCACTGACAGTCACAGGTAGCTCTTTGAGATGGCTTTTGATGTAGTCAAGGCCTATCAAAAACACAGTGCAAATACAGCAATATTAATACACCTAATACATTTTTGCATTAACCATTCAAATACATGTCTCTTAAGTAAATATAACAGATCAATGCACAAAAAAATAAAACAAATAAAAATACACATCGAGTTGTAGAAGGCCCTCATCTGTGGTCCAGCATCTTCTGAATTTGGGCACCAGAATGGAAGCTGCAATGAGCTCAGGATCCTTGAGCATCTCACCAAAGCGCTTCTGAAGTCCAGATTGAAGAGCATCTATGAGCGGCACACAGCACTTGGAGGAGAGTCGAAGGTGTTGTAGTTTAGTCTTGAGAAGAGTAATAGTGGGAATGAGCCAACCCATCTGCACATTGGTCTCTCCTTGAAGAACATCAATTGCCTTTGCAACAGGACACATTATCTTGACATATTCACTGAGAAAGGCAATCTCAGCAGGAGAGAACCTGAATAAAAAAAAAATAATAATAATGATAAAACATCAGTGGCTACTAAAGAGAAACAAGCACAAACTACATTACACATTTTAAACTGTATGTTACATGATTATTAAACTTAATATAATATAAATATCATAAAAGTTACTCACATGGGCAATTTAAGTGTAGTACACACAGCTGTGATGGCTCCTTCTCCTTGTTCTCTCATGATTCTTATTATTCTCTCAACAGCCAGGTACATGGAATTCCACCTTGTGTCATTGGGCCTCAGGAGCTGGAGTTTACATTTTTCCTCAATGATTTCAGCCGCAGCAGTAGATCTCCCACTTTTATTCCACAGGCCCCAGCATTTTGAAAAGGCTGACCGGGAAAGTCGTTTGTACGTTGCATTGGCATCTGAAACGTCAACAGTTGACACCAGGTTGAGAAGGTGGCAGGCACATCGATGGTGCTTGGGAAGTTGGTATTCAAGGCCATCATCTTCGTTCAATAATGTTGTTGCTTCAATGAAGTTTATATTTCCCTCCTGTTCTCTTTCCTCACCTTCACTGTTTTCACTTGCATCCGATTCACTTTGCCTTTCCTGGTTACTATTTTCCTCCCCCTCTCCATACACCCGGAAAGCTTTGATGAAATTTGACCCATTGTCTGTTGTTGTGCGTACAATTTTGTCCCGAATGTTGAATTCTGTGTGAATGTCATTCAGTGCTCGAGCTAGGCTGTCAAATGTGTGTGAACCTCTTAACTGTTTGCATGCCAGTGCTACAGAGCATCTAGTCATAGTTTCTGTCTCAATCCAATGTGCAGTGACTCCAAGGAAACTTCTCCTGTGTGCGGTCCAACAATCAGTAGTAGTTGCAATGAACTCAACCTCATTCATAGCAGCTTTAAGATTTTTCTTCATTTCTACTGTAGCTTTTTCGACCCTGTTTATCATTGTGCCCCGGGACATTATTGTCACATCTGGTTGCAGGTGATTGATCATAGCTTTGAAACCCTGCTGCTCGACAATGCTGCCTGGGTGCAGACCTTGAATGACAAAGTTCAAAATGAATTCATCCACACTCTTCTGTGAGACCCTCTTGACATCCCACAATTTAAGCTGTTTGGATGAGCCTTCATCAGATGTGGACGACGTCCTTTTCAATGGAGCTGCAGTGAGATTTTTGTATCTCTCCAAATGATTGGCATGTTTCCTCTGTTTGCAAACAAAATATAAAAACAGATCAGCTCAAATGTATTCCTTGCATTAAAATAATACAAGCATATATTCGTAACACTGAGTTACAATACAACACAAAGTGTTGTATTGTAAAGTGTTGATAGTTATTCAACAGCTTGATTTGAACTGAGCAATAACACGATGAGATTTTAAACATATTTCCACAGCCAAAACGAGACTTAAAAAAATAAAATAAAATCTAAATGTGTGGCTACTTTTACGGTTATGATTTGGGAGTGGGAGAATAAATATGTAAAATGTGTAAATCGTATCAATGCAAACGTGACATGAGTTACAGCTAGTGCGGCAGACCACAAGCTAGCACCACTTTCTTGCAAACTAATAGTGCCCCCAAAGCATTACTGACACACTTATATCTTTTTAAAACCTCCAGAATTAATCAAATGTAGCCTATACTAGTAACAACAATACGAAATCTAAATAACAAACCTGAATGTGCTTCTTCAGATTGGACGGTGAATTCTTGAATGCCAAAAGTTCGTGTTTTTTGGGCAAGCACAGGTTGCACTGCATCCGCCACGAATCATTCTTATAGCCAACAACAACGAAAAGTTCTTTCAGGTAAGGCCATGGGTGCCGTGTTTCTTGTCTTTCGGTGTCTGCGGAATCATCCTCGATGACGCTGTCCTGCTCACTTTCCTCCATACCGACTCATTCACAGTCACAAGTTAAAAACACGGCGTGACTATCCATGTGCTTGACTAGCTTGCGTCCTCTAGCTTCCTGTATTTTTTTTATTTTATTTTTTTAGCTTCCTCTTTTTCAGCGCTGGTTGGCCCGGGTTTTTACGTTGTGTTGTCGCTCAACTTTGGAGATTTTAAAAGTAACGACCTGATTTTTTAAAATGTAAGGAGTAGAAAGTACAGATACTTGTGTTTTAAAAGTAAAAAGTCGCAACAAAAAAAAATACTCAAGTAAAGTACAGATACCTGCAAAATCTACTTAAGTACAGTAACGAAGTACAAGTACTTCGTTACTTCCCACCTCTGCCTAACTGTGGATATTATATTGGTGACCAAATCACTGAAGGGCAGTGTTCTGTATGTAACACTACATGGGATAGAAACAGCTCACAGAAGAATGGCAATTTCTTCCTGTACTTGCCCATCCAAACACAACTGGAACATCTTCTCCAAAGAGAAGATATTGCATGTTGTCTTCAGTCAGGAAATGTCACATGTAATTCAGAAAGTTATGATGACATATGTTGTGGTGAAATGTATCATAATCTGAAGAAAGATGGTGGCCCACTAGATAGTCCAAATGCATTCTCCTTAACATTAAATTGTGATGGAGTTCCAGTATTCAAATCATCTCGGTATGCAATTTGGCCATTGCAAGGGATGGTAAATGAGCTTCCTTATCATGTCCGTAAAGAGAATGTTTTACTTTTTGGCCTATGGTTTGGTGCTATAAAGCCAAATGTTAATACATTTTTGAAACCATTCACAAAAGAGTGTCAGTCATTGTCAACTGTTGGCTTCAAGTTACACAGAAACAACACTGTGAATAACTGTAGAGTGATAGCAGCTGTTATGATGTGTGATTCAGTTGCCAGGCCCATTATGCAAAATATGACCCAATTTAATGGCCATTATGGGTGCAGCCTCTGCCTACATCCAGGTGAACAAGTTCCAAAGGGAAATGGAACCGTTAGGGTATATCCATACAAAGATGTTCCAAAAAGAGATCATGCTACAACTCTAACTGATGCAAGGGAGGCTGTGGGCACCAACCAATCTGTGAGAGGCATTAAAGGGGTCACATGTCTTGTCAACATCCCACACTTTGACATCATATCAGGTATGCCTCCTGACCATATGCATAATATACATCTTGGAGTTGTTAGGCAAATGACAAGCATATGGCTGGATAGTGAACACCATGGGGAGCCATACTATATCGGTACTCGTATTCTTGAGCTCGACCATCAGCTCATGAGAATCAAACCACCTTGCAATATCACAAGAGTGCCCCGCTCTTTTCAGCAAAGGAAGTTTTGGAAAGCCAGTGAATGGCAGAACTGGTTACTCTTTTATAGTATCTTTGTGCTAAAGGGAATACTCCCTCACGCATTTTACCAGCACTGGTTAATCCTTGTCACCTTCATGAATTTGCTATGTAAGGACACGGTCTCATCAGAGGGGTTAAAAAGATGTGAAAAGCTAGTTGTTGAGTTTGTCAAACAGTTTGAAACACTGTATGGAAAGGAAAATGTGTCATTTAATGTACATTTATGTCTTCATTTGCCAGACTCTGTGAGAAATTGGGGACCTTTGTGGGCACATTCAGGATATATTTTTGAGTCTTTTAATGGGGAGATACTGAAGATGTTTCATGGCACACAGTGTGTTCCCCAACAAATAATGAAACAATTCACATATCGACAAGTGTTGCCTCTATTGAAAAACAATGCACTTCGAAATGCTATGCCTAAATGTATACAGCTGTATAACACTTTGACCGGTGAAAACAAGCTGAAACAGTTTGAAAGAGTTGCAGATCAAGTTGTGACCCTTGGTCTACACTTTGTACGAAAACTTACGAACGAAGAGGTACTGGCTATGAGAGAGACATTTTCAGTCACCATTGATACAGTTGTGAAAATATTCAGCAGGATTTTGGTCAAAGGAGACCTGTATTACTCAGAGCAATTCACCAGAGTAATGAAAATGAACAGCTTCACTGTATTGTTGGACAATGGACACATAATCACTGTGTATTATTATATTGTGGTAGAGAGATTTGATAACAGAAAATGTTTTGCTGTTGGAAGACTGTATGACAAATCCCACAGTTCAGTTGAAAATTTAGAAAATGTGGTTGGCTTGAAAAGAGTGTTACAAGGCAGGAAACAGGTTTTTGATGTGATGAAATTCAATAGGAAATGTTTGTTAGTTGATCTGCCACATTATGCCAACCTTTAGCATGTATTCCTCCACGATCCAGTGTGGAGGACTCAAATGTAATGAGAAAATAAATGTTGAGCATGAAATGTCATGTGGAGAAATAAAAAGTGGACTCTTGTACTTTTTGTTGTAAGGATTTCTTTTAGAATATTCTGCCACTTACATTTGACCATATATTAATCAATACATTGCCATATATAGTCTATCCATATGGCTTTATAATGTAAAATATTATGAATGTCATGCTAAATGTGATTTGGAGCCTGGATCTTGCTTAACTCATAAAAAGATACTTTGTTACAATAAACATACCTGCAATAATGTGATACAGGGTTTGTTTGCACAGCAATACATTCTAAAATATATTAATCAATACATGGCAATATGTTGTCCAGTCATGTATTGCTATATATTTTATCTATTCTCATATATTTAAGAATGTATCGTAATATAAATTCTAGTATATTGCAATATACTTTTGTTTCGTAAGGGTTTGGACGTGAAACCCTTGGACGTGTTAGCAGTGCGTGGCTTTTGTTCCATTTCATCAGTGATTGTTGTACAGCTTACAAGAACTTGTGCTAATGCTAACGTTAGCATTTGTATCAGATCGCAAATAAAACTAGATGTCTCCGTGGGAGGAGAGCGTAGTGGAAATGAGAAGCCATTGAGCGAGTTGGGGGCGGGGCTAAACACTCAAACCTGCAGAAACGGTTATAGCTCCTTTAAATACTCTAATCAGCGTGGAAAAGTGAATCGCTTCCCTTGTGCAATTGTTGTCTTGCACAGTTTTTCCAATGTGGTTTTACTGCAAATGGCAAATAAATGAATCTGATCTGATCTGAACATTTTAAGTGTTATATTTCACGCTCACACTTGATGCAAAATGTCACACAACAAACAGATAAATAATTGATAACAAAACCCCTTCATAAACAGTTTCTATGGGATTAAAACAGGGTGATAGTAGCAAAGTGCACGATTGTAAACAAGGACGTGACCCGGGGCTGAAACTTTCATTAAACATGTGAGAAGTTGGACTACACTGTTCTTCTTTATTCACCATAGTCGTATCAACACAGCTTCTTAATTCTCTCCAAAAAGAACATTTGGATAACATTTAGATGACTGTACAATAACAGTACAGTCATCTAAATGTCCATGTGCCTGTGCTCCTCCCATTGGTTCCTGGTCCATTGTCCAAGTCTGTCCTTTTTCCTGGTTCCCGTTTTTACCCTGGACTTATATTTATTTATATTCCAACATTAAATCATATCATTTTGGCAATCTGGTTTCTCTTCGCCACGACCGGGAAGACTGTGAAAATAACCAGAAAGATGGATGTAGCCAAATACTGGAACATATTGGAGGAAAACCTGCTAAAGTCAGAGAGAGAATTGAGACTGGGGCGAAGATTCACCTTCCAGCAGGACAATAACTATAACAATAACAATTTAGACGATAAAAGCTAAATCTACAATGGAATGGCTTAAATGACATGTGTTAGAATGGCCCAAAGTCCAAACCTGAATCCAATTGAAAATCTGCGGAAAGACCTGAGAACGGCTGTAAACAAACGCTCTCCATCTAATTTGACAGAGCTTGAGTTGTTTTGTAAAGAGGAATAAGCAAGAATGAGTAAGATATGTGCAAATGAGCCTTACCCAAAAGACCTGCTGCTGTGTTTGCTGCTAAAGGGATTTCCACACAGTATTAACTCATGCTGTGTGTAATTTTTTGTGTTCTATTTTATTAATAACATAATCGTGTTTCATTTTGCTTTCACTTCCAATGAAAGCAAAATGAACGTTCAGCTGATAATGGAGAGGGGGGATTGCTGGAGCCCAAAAAAGCTGCTGAAAAGTGCGCTACTGATGCTACTGCGCATGCTAGCACTCAGCTCGCATCTGGAAGAAGGAGAGGCTGTGATTTGTCAAGGCGCTGAGAGCAGTTCTGAAGAAGAGCCAGAGCTGATTCTTCTTCAGAATGGCTCCCATCTGGGTCTGCAAGCAGTAGAGTCCTCCCCTGATGCATTTATCGGCAGAGAAAATAATGCAGACAAATAACGTGAAAGAATAAGAGTATGATGTGTGTTACTCGTGTGTGAACTTTCAGTAAAAATATTCCAAATTAAATCTTAGTTTGTTGTTGTAAACATGACAAAATGTGGAAAAGGTGTATTAATACTTCTGCAAGTCACTGTATAACCACAGAAGACCCCTATTCACCCAATCAAACGCTTTTTGGAAATCAGCAAAGGCTAAAGTAGATTTTTGCTCTTGAAGCCTCAGCACATGAACACATGATGGACACATGATGAACACATGACGGACACATAATGAACACATGATGAACACATGAACACATAATGAACACATGATGGACACATGATGAACACATGATGGACACATGATGAACACATGATGGACACATGATGAACACATGATGGGCACATGACGAACACATGACGGACACATGATGAACACATGATGAACACATGATGAACACATGATGGACACGTGATGAACACATGATTGACACATGACAAACACATGATGGACACATGATGAACACATGACGGACACATGATGAACACATGATGGACACATGACGGACACATGACGGACACATGACAAACACATGACGGACACATGACGAACACATGAAGAACACATGACGGACACATGATGAACACATGATGGACACATGATGAACACATGACGGACACATGATGAA